TAAGAGCCGCAGCTCTCCCGAGAGCCCCGCTCTCTTGACACCCTACCCCTCGGGTCGAGCCCCGGCAAGTTCACGCCCTCGTGAACGGAAGTTGAGAGCCACAGCTCTCTCGAGAGCCCCGCTCTCTTGACACCCTACCCCTCGGGTCGAGCCCAGCGGGAGCTCTCGAGAGCCCCGCTCTCTTGACACCCTACCCCTCGGGTCAAGCCCAGCGGGAGCAAACTGGACCAGCCAAATGTCAATCAACATGTGGTGTGATTCCCTTAGCCAACCAACAGAGTCGGACCCTACCCCTCGGGTCGAGCCCAGCGGGAGCAAACTGGACCAGCCAGATGTCAATCAACATGTGGTGTGATTCCCTTAGCCAACCAACAGAGTCGGACCCGAGACCCCTCTGATACCAAATGTAAGCTCCTGAGTTTGGACTTCCCAGGAGGTCACCCAGCCCAGTACTATTCAAACCCAAGGACGCTTAACTCCAACTATCCCAAGACCCTTAACCGATTGGAAAAGGGGGTGCACTCTTATTCATAGGCCCTTTCCCTCTATATTTGAACCCCATGGATCATCTCTCAAGTCGTTCCCTTTGGTTGCTTACAGACTAGTCGACAAGTAACTTTTGATACCCGAAGTCACATTCGCGACACTCTCCCCCCCTAGGGAAGATCGATGTCCTCGTCGATGCATACTCCAGTCTAAAATACCGCCAAGGAAACAACTCCAAAAAAAGTTCACAGTACTCACACTATGTGAGAAATGCACCAACTTAAATGAGTTAGGAGGCAACCTCTTTGTCTAACGCGGATGCGCTACCAGCTTAGACACCTTCCAGCCGTCACCGACAAGGAAATGACCAACGGAGTCAGCCACCCTTGCTGCTCTGGGAGCCACCCTTGTTGCTCTGGGAGTCACCCAGCTTACAAAAGTGTGATACACCCTTGCCCGCAGGGACATAGAGAGAGAAGCCAAAGACCCCAACCCTCCTAAGCAAAGAAACCAGACCCGTCGGTAAGGTTTAGATAGACTACTATAAACAGGCAGTTAGAGTTGTTTACACAGTCACGCCCTTTCAATGGAATAAGGAACATCGACAAAGAGGCGGGTTATGTGACCAATCGACAGTAGCTACCCCATGACTAGAGATTTCAACATACACACGAAGTGCCAAAGCCAGTCTGCCTATACTGGCCTAAACTCAAAGATCAATAGATGGACAATGTCAAATTCATAGACAATGATATCTTAGAGACTTAATTATCAGTGATTAAATCTTATATTAGAACACAAAAGTATTCCAAGTAAGTTATCATCCGATAAACCAGGATTATAGTGTAGGAACCACCAAGATCATTGTAACTGGTAAACACAGAATGCACCATCCAACAAAATTCAATAGCTAGTATATCATCAAGGAAACTCAATGATGAAACTTAACTACCGAAGATAGTAGACAATAAGCCAACAACTTACTAGAGATAACTCAAAAAACACAAAGTATCATTGACTAACAAGCACAATGCTCGCGAATGTATCACCCGAAAGAAATAACATCCCAACCTATCAGAACTAACTTGAGCAATAATCAACAGAATAGAATGAATGCGGTAAGACCAACAAACACCCATTTATGCCAACTATTATAGAAGTCAATCTGAATAGATCTTGGTCAACAATACCAAGGAACCAGAGTTGCTCAAGCAAGCATCAGCAATATCCTATTGATGTTTCAAACCCAAGAGACCAATCCAGAGCAAATCACAAAGAACATGTGGTATTGCAAAAAGCCAGAAGCCATCAAAGAGAATAACTAACTATCATGAAAGATTACCAATCATCCCATCAAGAAAGAGATGCATAATCATCATTGAAGAAAGAACCTACCATCCCGAAGAACGGCAAACCAGTCTATACCAACAATAATCAAACAAAACCTTTATTAAGGATAATCAACTATCTTAGATGATAGTCAAGCATCATCAATGATTGCCAGATGCAAATACTAACTTCAACATCGAAGCTAACAAGCCAAATTGCCTTCCCCAACAACTTCTAACAAATGGACCACAAGCATGAAAACTCAAGGAACCAAAAACTCGAAGAAGTCTATAGCCAAGTCTTGCCTAATAATGATCACAAGCCTTACATCAACGAACTTCAATGCTAAAGAAGAAAGCATGGTATAACCCACAGTATCTTTCTCAACACATTCAGAAGCTAAACATCATAATGCCAAAGCTAATGAAGAGCATGTCTGCATCAATCCAAAAGCTAAGTATAACGAAGCATACTGTAGCGCACCCTATCTCTCTCCCCTTAAGCCAACTAGAAAAGGGGCAATTGCTTGATGAGAGAGCCCTTAGTGGCTATTTTATCCCCATTTATCCCCCAAGGTTCCAAGGATTCACGGTGACAATATATCCAAATCTCATCCCATGATCATATACACTACACTCACCCCCCTTTTAAAGATGTCAATGTCTTCATTGATTATTGACTAGCAACCCCTACTGAGCCAAAGGGAACTAGCACCTCCATTTTCGCACTCAATCTACCAATCCTTCCATTGTGTAGACTAGTTATTCCATGTGAGGCAACTAATCATCCACCCGTACCGCAGTCCTACGGTGGATACCTTCGTCCATGGATACTCCACACAAGAGGAAGGACGTACGCATGGATGCCCAATACATACAATTTTTAAATTTAGGGGTAGGAATATACCTTGCTCAAGGGTATATTATATTTTAGGTAGCCACTAATCAATGGGAATTGAACCCGTGCTATTTTCTTTGATACCAACTGTAGTGCACCCTATCTCTCTCCCCTTAAGCCAACTGGAAAAATGGTAATTGCTTGATGAGAGAGCCCTTAATGGCTATTTTATCCCCATTTATCCCCTAAGGTTTCAAGGATCCACGGTGACAGTATATCCAAATCTCATCCCATGATCACATGCGCTACAACCACTATCACGTGGCAATTTTTTGCCTCCACTTTGGGGCCTAGGGATTTTGTGTCTCACAGTTCTAAAGATCTATAGTGATAGTATATATAAATCTCTTCTCATGATCATATGCGCTACACTTACCCCTCTTGAGAGGTATTAATACCCTCATTAACTATTGACTAACAACCCCTACTAAGCTAAGGGGAACCAACACTTCTATTTTCACACTGAATCTACTAATCCTTCAATTGTGTAGATTATCTTTTCTATACCGCAATCCCACATTATGTAGACCAACTATTCCATATGAGGCAATTAATCATTCACCTTATTCTATGTGAGGCAACTAATCATTCACCTATACCACAGTCCCATGTTCCACGTTCCACATTGAGAATTGAACCTATGGCATTTTACTTTAATTAATACCACAAGTAACACACTTTATCTTTCTTCCCTTAAGCTAACTGGAAAAGGGGTAATTATTTTAAGAAAAAGCCCTTAGTGGTTATTTTATCCCAAGGTTCCAAGAATTCATAGTGATAGTATATTCAAATCTCATCTTATAATCACATGTGTTACACATAACTTTACATAGAATCTTATCTCAAATTTATTAATTTTTAAATTCTGAAAAATCTGATATTTACTAGCCAGAAAGCACAGAGTACAAATTTAAGGATGTGATAAAATTACTTTTTTTGCAAATAAATCTTATCATATTCTATGTTCTAAAAAAACATCCATATTATAGCATATAGTAAATATTTAAATTGTTATAACAAGAAATGTCCTTTAGACAAAATTTATCTATATATATATAAAGAGTTATGAAAATATTAAGTTTATCATAACCTTACTTGTATTAAACTAGAATTGAGAATTGAGCTCAACTCTTCAGTTTGTGAGCTCAAGAATGGTCCATGCTCCTTGTTTCCTTAAGAATTTATCTATTAAAGTTTTTAAAAAGTTATAATATTCATTTGGTATAACTTGTTAATTTATTCATTACTACTTGGAATAGATTATTGGATGGATATAGTATGTAGTTGATGTATTAACATTACTAACATTTATGCTAGTGAAAATGACATTATTATGTGTGATGAAGAGTTTTTCTTAGAATTTAATTTTTCATGTTATTTTTCTTATTAGTGTTTCAGCTGTGTATTAGATCTTGAGTGATTGAAAAAGAGTGCTAATGTAATATGGATATCTGAAAATATGGTTTTCATGGTCTAATCTTGGGTATTTAATATACCATTTATGTCAGATATATGGGTAAATAGGTGAACTTATATAATATTGTAGATGGAAAAGCTATAAAAAATTTATAAAAAAATTTTTATCCTAGAGAAAGAATAACTTTCCATCTAGAAATGCAAATTCCTAGGACTCAACCAACTTCTTCTTAATAGCTAATCTATTGATTATTTTGCCCTAAGATCATTTTAAACTGGTGAAAGGGTTAAAATTCATTAATAAATGGGATGCTAACTTCTAGGGTTAAGGTAATTAAGTTAGATAAAGTCTAAAGTTGAATTAGCAAAGTGGCTGTTGCACATTTACTCTACCTTTCAATTCAGCCTTACAAAAGTTAATGAGAGCATGGTAATAACTATGTAAACCAATAGACTAATCCCTATAATCTTTATTAATCCATTTATACTTTATTGCCCTATTTAGTTAATATGCTAATTATAGTACTATACTATATATAGACTATCTATTTGAAACTAAATCTAAGCCAAATCATTGATAGTTATATAATATCTAGTTTATTTTACTCATGAGATTTATATATTATTTTTTACCCCACTTGAGAATATGGAAATAAAATACCAAAATGTGACAGGAGCAAATGGTCTGAATTAAAATCAATCTAATGACTACCAAAATCCCACTACATTAATATTAATATACAACATTATACCTGAACCTCATGCAGTGAAATGGCCAGAGATCACAACAACACTAAAGCCTTAACCCCCTATTACTGCCCAATGCATCTCACATAATCAGCCTTGAGGCTTTTCTAGGGCTCATTTTTGTTCTTACTTAGGCCGCTCCGGGAGTGCGATGCTGATACGGCATACGCCTCTGCTGCTGTCCAAGCGCATTGTCTTAGCTTCGGCTTCTCCACGTCGTTTTGAGCTGTTTCAAAGAATGGTAACTTTTTTCTCCGTCTTCGCTTTGTTTCGTATGCTCCTCCCCTGGCAGGGGCTCAAGGTGGAGGTAATTCCATCCACGTTTGAGGAGACATTGGACAAGCTGCAATATGCGACTCCTGGAGGTGAGAAAATATTTTTGTAGCGCTTTGGTTACAAGCACTGTGACAGATTATGCTGCGGAAACCGCCACTCACAAAGCCATTGAAGTTTCTAGGAGATTGATACAAGTAAGAACAGAAAAGTGTCACTATTCCTGGAGTTCTAATTGAGTTCTTTCGTTTTTCAGCTCGAGAGCCAGAGGAACGTGGATTTAATCGTTGGAGCTGACACAGTCGTGGAGCTTGACGTAAGAAATCAATTTCTTTTTCTCATTCCTGGCGTGAGACGCTGTGTAGGGAATGATTCTGGAGAAGCCTCGCGATGAGAAAGACGCCTTTCGAATGCTGTCCCTGTTGAGCGGTACGTCTATCGTTTTGCAACTCACACAAAAACGGAGGCTTTTCCACAGGCCGACAACACAAAGTTTACACGGGAGTTGTCATCCTCCTGCCGCATGCCACAGGTTCTCTAGATTTGCTTCCCTATCTATGGCCTCGTTTCAATCCAGGTTTCTAGATCCCACGCTCGGACAGGCACCATTGTTACGATCATTCTACGAGGAGACTGCTGTAAAATAAGTTAGGGTGCTCTCGAGCTCTCAAAGTTTTTCCCTCTTCTTACTGAAGGTGGAGTTTGGTAATCTGGACGAGGCTACCATCACAGCATACATCGCGACCGGGGAGCCCATGGACAAAGCTGGCTCTTATGGCATCCAGGTTCCTTTGTCTTTATCCTCTTCGCAATTCATTCAATGCCTTGCAGGACGCGGGCGCCTCACTCGTCAAGTCCGTCAATGGATGCTTCTACAACGTCGTTGGCTTCCCAATCCACCGGTGAGTAGTCTCTACGCCTCCTCCCCTTGCGTAGATGTTCATAAAATCAGTGCGTTTGCAGGTTTTGTCTGGAGTTGGAGAGTCTCATCGGGAGCGGAATGCTCCGGGAGAACAATCCAGCACCGACAGAGCTCTGAAATTTGCCTGCCACTAAATATCTAGAGAAAGACGAGACGAGGCGGCTTCTCGCTCCGCCCCGTTTCGGTGCAAGAAGCTCTCTCAAAACTCTAGATGAGATGAAAGGGTGGCCATGCTATCTCTTCGGCAAAAAGATTTTTTTTTTTGTGTGTTTTTGCTCAAATGGTTTTCTCGTTTTGTGTAGACGAAAGATATCATCGCTCGTCATGCATACAATGCCGCGTCGGCTTCTGCTTCCCGGCTGGACTCTTCCTCCTTTGGATTTTTCCCCAGCTCGCTCAATTCCCAGCGAAAATCTCGTCACATTTAACCACAGTTCACCGTGGTCGGATCTAATCACTATCTAGATTACCTGTTTCGTGCTCTTGACCACTGGCTTGATCGTCATATCCGAGCGCTGCCGCCGCCTTGGTGTCGCCCTGGGCATCCGTGTCCAGCCCCGCCATTGAGAGATGCGCTGCTCCAAGCCCCTGCGCGGCACAATCATCGCACTGGCGCCACTGTTGGTGGCGCCGCTGGGGCCTGGGCGGCGCTCTTGGATAGCCGGCAGCTTCCAGTTGTCGGTGAGAGGATCGATCATTAAGTATACCCCTTGGGAAGAGGCATCGATGGAGGAAGGAGAGGAGTTCGTCTCTAGACACACACAAATAAATTGTATGTTGTGTACTTTATGTAAGTTCATGTGCGAAACCTTTTACATAAGATAAAATTCCCACTAAATGTATGTGCAAATCAAATAAAAAACATTACAAAAATAAAAATTTAAATATGGCATTCATAGTGTACTAGACTTTATGAACAGTAGTTCTAAAGTTAAAACATAAATTTATAACACAGTTTTGTTTAAAACTTCAAAGAGTAGAATAGTTTTTGGATTGTTTGGTCATAATATATACAATAGCAAACAAACAATTCCAATTCTGCTGAGCTTGTCTGTATTATTCTTCATCAATATTGTTCTATTTTTAATCATTTAAAAGTGCACTCCTTTTCTTAAAACAAATCTTTTATCCACTCAAATATACCAAATAAGTTGCTTTGAGATGTTAGAGCTTTAAAAAAATGGAACACCTTCCAACCTTATCTAAACTTGTAATTTATGAACCTCAGAATAGCTACTTTAGTGCTGATCCTCTCTCCATATTTATTGTCCTTGCAACTACAACTTAGTTCATATGTTGCAACATTGTGTGTTCTTACCTCTTAGCCTTGTGCTAAGATATCTCATTGGCTTTTTAGAACATGTGTTAAGCCAAAAATTGCATCGCATCAATTGAAGTGTAGTGAAAGGTTGAATCTATTTTGATCTACCATGATCTCAATGGAGTTCACTCTCATATATGGATACCTGTATCCAACTTGATCTTCTTTCTTGAATCTTCTCATGACTTACATGATACAAATACATTAAACTAAATAATATTCTAGTGTCACTTTGGAGAATGGATTTTATTTAAGTTTTGTAATGTTATTATATTGATATAATTACAAAAAATAATGTTAGTTTTACTGAAAAAAAATTGTCTTCTATGTCATCAGTAATTATGGATTAGGTTTATAGTAATTTTTTAAAAAGCCAGATATAGTGTAATATAATAAACCATATATTGAAAGTCAGATTGTGTTCCAATTTTATAATAATGCTTTAGAAAGAGAATCATATTATCATATACATCAAAAACCATATTGAGTGTCAATTTCGTAACAATGTTTGAGAAAATCATGGTTTAGTATATTAGATATTGTAAACCATATCCTTATATCTTATCTTTCAATATAGATAACATTTTTGTTTATATATCTAATGTAAATTGTAAAATAGATATGTGAGTGTATAGAATACAAAAATATACATATCTAATTAACCTAAAACCCAAGATTATATACAAAAGTAAGTGGTCTGGATTGATGAAATATATATATACATTCTCAATATCCCTTAGGGACTAGTACAAACATTGGGATGTCCCACCCTATTTAATTGCACCCACTAAAACCATCCTCCATCCTCTCTGGCTTTCCTTGCATTTCAAGTAGAGTGTGTTAGAGCTAAATTGTTATAAACAGCTTTTTCCACCATACAATCTTTTGTAAGTGATTAAATTTTCTATTTTATTTTAGTCACTTAATTATATATTTGAACATTTGAAAGAGTCTTATTCACAACCTCCATATATTTTATTCATGACTTAAGGACATGTTAGCTTTGTGAATGGCATCTATGACATTCAGCCTTTACACTTGGTCTAAGTGCTCTATGTGTTCAATCCCATGACAAACACCCAAATGTACCACTAATATATCAATTTGTTATGCTAAAGTTATATTCATTCACCTCACCTTTGTATTGTAGGTAGTCCAAAACCACCCATACCATAGTCTCATCTCCCCAAAGATTGGGTGATCCATTTATAAATGGTTATCCCATAACCACACCTTAGCATCCTTAAAATGCCCAGAGATATGTGAAACACTTTTCCCTAATATCCCTTTTTTGGTTCTTATTAAGTCCCTTTTCATCAAAGGTTGTATTTGCCAACATTGTTATTAGGTTAGAGTTTAAAAGCCTAATTACTAAGTCTTATTAACCTCTAGACTTTCTTTGCCATGTGACTATATCCTTAGTCACTATACAAGAGGATTGCTCTTCTTCTTTTCTACAGTTTGAGACTTTGGGACAACATTTTGAAACACCGTGGCCTAACACAAGTTTCATGGGTACTCCTTAGGTGATTTAGCTATGTGGCTAAAGTAAAGTTCTAATATGCTATACCAAATATTCCACCCAAATTTAAATTGGGAGCATTGACTATTTGATCTCTTAAAGGAGCTAAAGTTAGTTTTTAAACACTTCATTAAGTTACTCTATTTAATTGTTTATATTTATTCTAGCTTTGAACTCTTCAATAGTTATATAATCACCCATTACATAAGTTAAACCTCCCCTTACTATCTTTTTGGAGCTCACCAAACCCCCTAATGTTTGGGAAATGATCACTTTGGGCTTTCACCCTTGGATTTGGACTTAAACTTTAATTCATACCCAATCTCAATCTTAGTCTCGGTCTTGGTCCTGCTCTTGGCTTTGGTCTTGGTATTAATCTCAGTCTCAGTCTTGATCTTGGTTTTGATCTTGAACTTGATCTCAGTCCCTATCTCGGACTCCTTAGACTTGGTCTTGACACTTCCATGTGTCATAACACTTGTCATGTATCAGTTCTACCAATGATATTAGTGTACTTGTCTCACCAACCCCATAAAGAAAATTAGCTGACCACAAAGGACATGTCTGTATTTGTCACCAGCTGGCAACAAACATACATGTATCACCAACAAAGAACATGTGGCCTTCAATGTCTGTAGCTGGCAACAAACGTGCATGCCATCGTTTTGGTAGCCATTTGGATCATTTATAAAGGAAGTCAGTATTTGCTTACTTCCCTCTATACATGTGTGTGCGAATTTCTGTGTGCAGAAGTGTGTGAAGGAAGAATAGATCCTAGTGTAACGTGATATGGCTGGGAGGTGTAATCAAGGAAAGGGTGAGATGGATGTAGAGGAAGCCAGTGATGAAATGGCTGCAGAAGAGAGCTCTGTGGTCACCCACGAAGAAGAGAAGTCTATTGCTGACGAAGAAAAAGGTGCAAGGTCTGTAACTGCAGTCGTGGTGGCAGGACTGGGGCTTGGATCTTCGGTTATCAACAGTATCCTGAATGGGCTGGGTTCAGTACAACGCAAGATTGTAATCTCGTTTGCCAACAATACTGGCCATCAGCTCACAGCTATAGGTGTATATTTCTTTTCTGGAACAGCTGACAATGGACTCCCTGGTGCTATTCCTGATAAATCCACACTCGGCTTTGGAGCTCGCAAGACAAGTGGTCCTGTGGCGAGAGGCACTGTTGGGGTTATCACACATTATCTTTCAGCCGAAAATCGGACAGCCGCAATCATGTGGAGTGTCCCGTTTGACTACAACTTATATTCCAACTGGTGGAACTTTGAATTGCGAAATGGGAGAGTTTCCCCCTCAAGGAGCTTGTTCAACGATCTCTATTACACAGATTCTGCAATTAAGGGTGATAGCAACTTTGTCTCTCGCTTTACTAATGGACGGAAGTTTGAGGGGTCTATGGGACACTCTGGCACTCCAGTTCTGGATATAACACTACATTGAAATATTTTGAAGAGAAAGAGGAATATATCAACTACAAAACAAAACAAAAAAATGTATTAACTAAATATAATATATAATATTTTATTAGGTAGTTTATTTTGGTCATCGGCAAGGGGAGGAGGCGTGGAGACTACTCACCGGTGGATTGGGAAGCCAACGACGTTGTAGAACCATCCATTGACGGACTTGACATGAGGCGCCCACGTCCTGCAAGGCATTGAATGAATTACGAAGGGATAAGAACCTGGATGCCGTAACAGCCAGCTTTGTCCATGGGCTCCCCGGTCGCGATGTATGCTGTGATGGTAGCCTCGTCCAGATTACCAAACTCCTTCAGTAAGAAGAGGGGAAAACTTGAGAGCTCGAGAGCATGCTAACTTATTTTACAGCAGTCTCTCATAGAATGATCTTAACAATGGTGCCTGTCCGAGCGCGAGATCGAGAAACCTGGATTGAAACGAGGGCCCTACAGAGATAGGGAAGCAAATCTAGAGAACCTGTGGCATGCGGCAGGAGAATCGCAACTCCTGTGTAAACTTTGTGTTGTTGGCCTGTGGAAACTCCGTTTTTGTGTGAGTTGCAAAACGATAGACAGGCGCCTTTCTCATTGAGGCTTCTCCACAATCATTCCCTACACAGCGTCTCACGCCAGGGATGAGAAAAAGAAAAGACATTTCTTACGTGAAGCTCCACGACGTTGTCAGCTCCAACGATTAAATCCACGTTCCTCTGGCTCTCGAGCTGAAAAACGAAAGAACTCAACTAGAACCCCAGGAATAGTGACAAGATGACGCTTTTCTGTTCTTACTTGTATCAATCTCCTAGAAACTTCAATGGTTTTGTGAGTGGCGGTCTCCGCAGCATAATCTGTCACAGTGCTTGTAAGCAAAGCGCTACAAAAATATTTTCTCACATCAGCAGTGGCATATGCCGGATTCCCAGAGTCGCCATCGGCAGCAATTATGAACTTCTTTTTTGTTTCTTCAGGGTTTTCTCCAAGAAGTGTCAACCGTTTGCCTCAATAGTGGCATAGATCATTTACCTGTGTCAAAAGTAATCAGTGCGTTTGCAGGTTTTGTCTGGAGTTGGAGAGTCTCATCGGGAGTGGAATGCTCCACAGAGCTCTGAAATTTGCCTGCCACTAAATATCTAGAGAAAGACGAGACGAGGCGGCTTCTCGCTCCGCCCCGTCTCGGTGCAAGAAAACTCTAGGGGTGGCCATGGCAAATGTTTTTTTTTTTTTTTTTTTTTGCTCAAATTCTCGTTTTTGTGTAGACGACTGGGCTCTTCCTCCTTTGCATTTTTCCCCAGCTCGCTCAATTCCCAGAGAAAATCTCGTCGGGAATGCCCTACATACAGGATTCACAGTTCGCAGTGATCGGATCCAATCACTATCTGGATTACCTGTTTCGTGCTCCGCCGCCGCCTTGGTGTTGCCCTGGGCATAGCCCCGCCATTGAAAGATGCGCTGCTCCAAGCCCCTGGCGCCATTGTTGGTGGCGCCGCTGGGGTCTGGCCGGCGCTCCCGTTTGACTACAACTTATATTCCAAGTGGAGGAACTTTGAAATTGCTAAATGGGAGAGTTTCCCCCTCAAGGAGCTTGTAGAACGATCTCTAGTTTTCTGCAATTAAGGGTAGATCCATGCCACTGTTGTTGAGACCTCGCAACCGTTGACACTACTTGATCTAATACCCTGAAGAAACAAAAAGAAGTTTAAGAAAGAAATGTAGTGGTTTTGCAAAACCTTGTCGGGTCCGATCGTCTTACATGAACTCCCATGGCGAGCAACGTCAAGGTTTCTGATTATGTGAGATCTCGCCATGGGAGTATTATAATCGGAAAACTCAAAATCAATGTGTGAGATTCATGGCAGCTTCAATCTGGGGCGCTTAAAACAGAATAAATGGATTAATTTAAAGAAACACTGGAGAAGCTATAATATGCGACTCCTGGAGAGATGTAGCGCTTTGCTTACAAGCATTGACAGATTGTCGCCACTCACAAAGCCATTGAAGTTTCTAGGAGATTGATAATCAGATACGTGGAGCTTGACGTAAGAAATCCCTTTTCTTTTTCTCAACCCTGGCGTGAGATGCTGTGTAGGGAATGATTCTGCCTTTCGAATACTCCCTGTTGAGCGGTATGTCTATCGTTTTGCAACACGGAGGCTTTTCCACAGGCACACAAAGTTACACGGGAGTTGTGATCCTCCTGCCGCATGCCACAGGTTCTCTAGATTTGCTTCCCTATCTCTGTCGGGGCCCTGTTTCAATCAAGATTTCTAGATCCCACGCTTGGACAGCCACCATTGTTACGATCATTCTACGAGGAGACTGCTGTAAAATAAGTTAGTTTGCTCTCGAGCTCTCAAGTTTTCCCCTCGACGGTGGAGTTTGGTAATCTGTACGAGGCTACCATCCATCGCGACCAGGGAGCCCATGGACAAAGCTGGCTCTTATCCAGGTTCCTTTGTCTTTTCATTCCTCCTCGCAGTTAATTCAATGCCGTGCAGGACGCGGGCGCCTCACTCGTCATCGTTGGCCACCGGTAAGTCTCTCCACGCCTCCTTCCCTTGCGTAGATCTTCATACAATCAGTGCGTTTGCAGGTTTTGTCTGGAGCTGGAGAGTCTCATCCGGAGTGGAATGCTCCGGGAGAAGAATCCAGCATCGACAGAGCTCTGAAATTTGCCTGCCACTAAATATCTAGAGACAGGCGAGACGAGGCAACCAGCTCTCTAAGGGTGTTGAAAGGGTGGCGATGCTATCCCTTTCGCCGGGGACGGGAGGGTTATTGTTGTGACGAAAGATATCGTCTCTCGTCATGCATACAACGCCTCGTCGTCTGCTTCCAGGCGCTTGAATTCGTGGCCTGGCATTGGCTTTTTGGACTTGCTTGCAGCACACTGCAGAATCTTAGAGAAAGTCCACACCACGCAATAATGGAGAATATGGGCATGATTCTGTGCAAGACAAAAACAAGGATTCAGCTTCGGCAGCAGCAGCAGTAGGTAGCAACAGGAGCAGAGCAGAATCACAAGAGGAGTTGCCCACCGACTCCTTTTTACCATTCATTTCATGAAGAATTCATTCTTTCCTGTGATTTTTCTGATTTAAGTCTTTTTTGTTGAGAGAGAGAGAAAAAGAGAGAAAACACTTATTGTTTTATCATCCGACGAACAAAACTGAAATTCTTCTTGCTGCTGCTTGCTGCCTCCTGCCTCTCTCGCCAAACATTTTTTTTTCCCTCTTCCTCCTCCTTCCTTGCCTAGTCTCTTCTTGCGGCCGTGCGTTCAAGCTCAACAACGGTAAATTTATCCTCACCTACATATTGTTCTTCCATGCTGCTGCTGCTGCTATTTACACTGCCTGACTGACTGACTGGCGCGTTTGCCTCCCTGGCTCCCACTCCCAAGCTTTTTGTTTTGGCTCTCTTTGTCCTCACTCTCGCCATTAAATACACCGAAGTTATTCCCCTCCTACTTTCCTGGAGAGCGAGCGAGCGAGCGAGCAAGTGAGAGAGCATTTGAATCCATCCTGAACACCACCACCATCCTTGCTGCTGCTTCCTTCTTCTTCAGCTTCCCTGATCATCGTCGTTACCAATCAATCATCCTCCGTCAGTCCTCCAGTCCAAGTCCTCCTCTTCGTCGTCCTGCACTTAACTATCTTCTCTAGCTCTTTTTTTTTTCTTTCTTTTCTTTTGGCGTCTTTTTCTTCTTCCCCCCGTCCCGCAACACCGTCTACTAGCTAGCCGCCGATATGGTATCTGTTGTCTTGTCTGTGAGAGATCAAGTTTGAGTTGGCCGTCTCGTCGTCAGTTTTCATAGCTTGTTGACAGTGTGAGCGAGCTCTGGCTGGTGCTGATCGGTGGTGCCGACACCTGCGCATGCGGCTGCTGCTGCTGCTGCTGTGGCTGTTGCTGTGACGCGTTGGCAGCACCGTCCTCTTCGCCACCACCAGCGCCAGCGCCACCAGCGCCACCAGCGCCACTCCCGCACATCACCTGTTGCCCGCAGAGCATGTTAGACGAATCCAAACCGGTCTCGCCAATGCCGTGATGGCTGCAGTCGAACGAAACCATCATGTTGTTCTGGGTCGAGTCATTGCCAGCTCCACCTCTGGAGAAGTTAGAATCGGATATCGCCTCTTGTTGCTGCAAGAAACCGATTCACACGTAAGAATTTAAGCGTCCAACGCTGTAGACGAAGATACCAAAAGAAACAAGAGTTATACGTACGCCGGGGTAGAAGCTTGGGTTTTGCTCCGAGTTTCTGTAAGCGTTCCACACGGGTTGCATCTCCGTGGAATCAAACACGAGCGACTCTTTGTGCTCCTCCTCCTGCTGCTGTGGGATCAAGTCCGCCTTCTCCTCCTTGTAGATTGTTGGCTGTGTCTCCATCTCCTCGTAGTAGAGAGGGAACATCTTAGCCTCTGACATCATGGCTTGCTGCATCCCAAACGGGGACTTCAGCTGCTGGACTTGATTCATTCTCATCTGATTTGTATATGCTTGCGACATCGAGGAGCTGGGAGAGCTGGCATCTCCATTGTCCCTGCACAAAGGAGAACAAGAGCATTCGATTCGACTGACAGATAAACGTCACAAAATACCTTCTCTGGGGAAAGAAACTGAGCTCATTGTACTGCGAAGCACTGTCAGACCAAGAGGATGGAATCTGAACATCTCCCATCGACCCGTTAGGAGCCATCATAGGATACATCTATGAAAAACAAGTTAAGATGAAAGAGAGAACAAAAAAAACGCAACGGAATGTCCAACGAACTACACACACCTGTTGCAGTTGACCATAAGGTACCACTTGATTCTATAAATGGGAAAGGTTAAAATGGTGAAGACAGAAGCATAAAAACAAACGGGTACCTGCATCATGCCTCCCATACCATGGTTTTGCAGCTCTTGCTGTTGTCAGCAGCTTGAGAAGTTTAGAAAAAGAGAGAAATTTACGGCAGAACACAGACCTTGCGTGTGCGTATCTTCTGTAGTGTAGATTTCAGGCACTCTTCGAGCTGCAAAAGCTCCTCGATCCCGAGACCTCCAATGTCGCCTTCGAAAAAACTGCAGTCAAGATTACACAAGTCAACAAAGAGACGAGCCGGAGAACAATAGCCGCCGTACCGCAATCTTGTGCGCAGAGCCTCGTTCTCAAACTGAATCTTGGAGACATCCCTGTAGTGAGCCTGAAGAGGCGCAGGTGTAGCAAGCACAGAGATGAGAATCATAAAACACTCACCACCAGGCTCTCGTAGTTTGAGTTGCTGCAACAGTGGAATTAGCAAAGCTGGATTGGAATTAAATTCATTAAATTAGGATTACCTTGTCTCCCCGTTAGTTATCTCAGATCCGCTTGGATAAGATCGTCGAATTTTGTTAATGATCTGTTACCGTGAACATACAGTTAAAACATCAATATCGCCAGTACACCGACTTACTTCTTCAGAGTCAAGCCGCCTACATGACAACAAAAGAAAACCACACGGAACAGCATTAGAGTCATAAAAGAATGCACGGAAGAAGGAGAGCTGCGAGAGACCTTTTTGTCCTTTCATTTTCAGGAAGGGAAATAAAGCGCAGGATTATCTCCTCAATCCTGTAGTTCAATCATTGCACATATAAAAAAGAACCTCAGAAACGAAAGACGATGGGAGGTGAATTTAGCAGCCAAAGGATAATCGATCGGGAAAGTAAGAAGGAAAAAGGAAGCCGAGCAAAAAAGGTGAAGAAAACGAACCACAGGAGCCTCTCTCGCTTACCTCCCGTCATTGGGATGAATACTCAGCTTCCCAGCCGGAGAGAACATGATCAAGGCAACATCAGTGTCGCACAGCGTGGAGAGCTCGAAGGCTTTCTTCATCAGCCCATTCCTTCGCTTGGAGTAAGTCACCTGGCGTGCCTGGTGGTTCTCGATCTTTTTTATTTCCAGCTTCACCCGACCCATTGTTTCTGTTCTCTGGCAACCGTCAACCATTTGACATTAATGTCGTGCCCGTCAATTGAGAGCGCATCCGCTCGGTGAGTGAGCTGAACTTTTACCTTGGGATGGGCCTCTCCAATCTGGGACTCGACACACTGCAAACACAGCCATTGCTACGCTTGTATAAAGGCAAGAAAGAAAAAACGAAAAGAAGGAAGGAAAAAAAGACACAGTACCTTACAAGATCTAAACTTGCAGTGCCGATCCAAGCCCCGATCAAAGCTACTCTCCTCCTCTAAGTTCTTCCCTATCCGGATTTTCCTGTCGCGATCCTTTTGGCGCGGGGCCCGTCTTCGGTGTTGCCAGGTGCGATCGCCGACCTGTCCTTGTTCCTAGAGCTAATCACTTCCAGGCAGTGTCAATGCGAGCTGTCCTCCTCCTCATCTTCCATGAGCGGCGCCGCAAGATCAAGAACTACAATCGCATGCCAGCCGCTCCAAGACGACTGCTGCTCATTGGCAACGATCCCGCGCTCCCAATTCTGCCCGATTCGACCTTTCTTTTTCGATATTTCGGGCCTGCCAAGCACACAAGAGCCGAGCTGCTAGAGAATGACAAACCCCGGCATTGAAATATCGATTCTTGGCGGGGCGAATCCAGCGCCGGCGCGAGCGCCTCACACCGCCATAGCTGCCGCAGCTCGTGGAGGCGCCCGCGATCGATCTTCTTCCCGGGGCACGCTGCTGAGGTGTCGGCGCCTCGACCGGAAGAACACACACACAAGAGAAGAAAAAAAATGAGAGAGGAGAAAATTAATCGACCTACACAGGCAAACCAAAGCAAAACCAAATGGGATGAAATGGAGAAAAAGCCCCCTCTTAAACCTTGGGGCCCCAAGGGCAGTCCTTAGCAAAGCCGCCCTGTGGAAATAGCCTTCCCCAATCAGGCGAGGCCACATCACTGACAATAGCTGCCCCCGTTTCTCACCGCGGCGTGAAAATGCCGGGTAAGACGGTAACCACCAGATTTTACCACGCCGGAGCCTGTGGGACCGGGTCGTCGACGGCGACTAAATTGGGAAAAAGCGGGGCCCACGTCAGCGTCTTTTGGGACGAAGGGGGCCATGCATGCATGCATGGAAAATTTGTTTTTACCGCGGGCGCAACGCTGGGTATCCCGCGGCCATCCAAGCGCACCACGTCCATGTTAACCCCAGGTAAAAACCACCATGACCTCCATTCATCATCATCCACCATGGTAAACTCGGAGAAAGCAAGAAAGCGCCATAAATCTTACTAACATCAGTAAAAACTTAAAAGTGAAAAAAGCAAGGCTCTTGCATTGCTTTGTGTGTGTTTCTTTTGCCCCTTTCTTTACTTCTTTAGCCACCCGGGGCTTTTAAATGCGACGCTAGAAGCGACCCAGTGGCTCCAGTTTTGCAGGATACCCGTTTGGAGCTCTCGTAGTAAGCAACTGGAACTGGAGCCCTCGCGCAAAAGCCCAGTAATGGCATTATTTGTGGCCACTGTAGTGCGTCACAGGCATCCTCCTGGCATCCAAAAAATTTAAGACGAGCATGATGTGTTGTGTGTGTGTGTGTGTGTGTGCGAGAGTAGTAGAATCAATCAACAGAAAAAAAAATTAAAGAAATTAAAGCCTGGTACGAGCAAAAGGCTCCAAACAAACGGGCCGGTTAGTGTGCATTACATTGCATCACCACCACCATAAACTTCCCACTTCGATTTCTGGTGGTTCAACAACGTAGCTCGCGCGTCACCTTTGTTTTTTGTTTTTCTGTTCTGTAGAAACCAAGGAGGGAGAGAAAGATCGCATTAGTTATAGCACAAGCTTACGCTGCAGTGTACGAAGGAAAAGAGGGAGAGAGAAAAAGAGCCTGATCGCTGTGTGCGCGGAGGACAATGCACGCCTCGACTCGATACTAGAGCCTCATCAGAGAACGAAGGAAACAAAACAATGGTCAAAAACAAGACTGACAAAGGAAATATTAACTTAGCCGCAGAAAGAATGAGGAGGAGAACTTTAACTTTGGCTTGTGCTTGGCCACGGCACGACTGTGCTGCTGCTACTCTCTGCAATGCAAAGAAACGAAAAGCAACACTCGTTAATCGAGACGCTGCAGGAGAAACAAAAGGCGGACGAGAAGAAAAAACGGACCTGTTATAAAATTTAAGTGTACAAGGTACACGGGTGACCGAGTGACCGAGTGAATAATACAGGCGGGTCGATCGTCTTCTCGAATCTCTGCGGTGGTTTCTCAGAAGGGGCTGACGAGTCGAGCCAATTGGAGCAGTATTTCAGGGACGAGTTGCTCCGAGACGACTGATTCGGGTACATCTTCTCCCTCATAAATCAATGCCACGATGTGCTCTAGAAGCTCATCTCGGCCTCCACGCATTGGATCCTGAACCACAATTTCCGTTCGTTAGTCTCCAAAATAATGCACCGCTGTGGAGCCAGTGGCTGAGCACATCGCTGTAGCGAGCGAGTGCGTGAGCCAGAGGTGTGCAAAGATGAAAACACGAATTCGTGGTCGACACTCTCAAGGATATAATGGACCTGGAAAGCGACCCACCTGTAAAAATAAATCGGTGTGCGTCTTATGCGGGAAAAGCTTTGTTGTAACTTTCACTCCTGCTGCTCGCAGGGAGTCTGCGAATCGAACCCTGCACGTGCAGCCACGAGAAGAATAATATCAAAATCGGGCACTGACTCGCGAAAAGGTGTGAAACTAGCATCAAAATGACAGCATAAAGTACTCACGTCGCATGGTATGGAATAGAATAGTCGGCCGTTCCGTGGAAGAGCATGGCTGGTGGCAAAAGATGGATCCATGGCTGGAAATCCTTGCGTTTAACAACGAGCTCGGGTGAAAACCGAGGCAGAGACTCCTCGCCTTCCATAACGCTGTAAACAACAATTAGCTCTTTGTTCCAACTGATATAATTCCAAAACAAAATGCGCTAACCTTAAGAAGATTGACTTGTACAGTCCTCTCTGATGGAAATGGTCGACAAGTTCAAGCAAATTGTACCTGAAAGAATGAAAACGCCTTTAGCGCCAAATTATCGTGTTCAAATGGCTTACCCTCCAGAAATCCCAAAAAACATTTTGAACTGGGAGGGAGTCCACATCACCCTGGATCTCCCATTCAGCTTTTGCTTCTTTGCTTGGATTATTAGAGCGCAAGAAGAAAGGTGCGCACCTGCCGATTGACCGGCAAGAAAAAGTCTGTTCATAAGTTAGAAACAATCGTCGTAAAGCCAGCGGAGAGTACTCACCTGTTCGGGTCGCCTCCAAAGCTTGCTATGTTGTTACAAAAAAAAGACAATGCATTTCCTACATCTTCCACCATGTCGCTGATGGTACCCTGGGGAAAATTCCTAGACAAACAAAAGAAGTGAGGCCCCCATGACTCTGGCGTATTCCCTTACCTATAGTCAATGCACGCAACTATAACATCTCTTTCGACAAGACGTTTTGCTAAAAGAGACCCCCATGCCTTGTACCTGAAATTCTGATGTAATTCAAGATAGACTAGAACAAGGCAACTTTACCCAATGATCCAAGCTCCGCCGGTCACAAATGCCACAGCTGGCTTTGGCTTGTCCAAAATCTCTGGTAAGTACAAGTCCAACCTGCTCAGAGCAAATCTCTGTTGACAGCAAATTTTCAAAGTGGAGCGAAACAAGTACCTGTTCCTTGGCTGATCTCCATAAACAATGCTTCGATGAACACAGGGAGAAGTAAAATAGTACCACCCAACTGATCAAAGCACACGAGCTTTGGTTATGCCTAGTGCCTAGCTATGGTGAAGAAATGTTTTTCAAAAGTATCAAGCGCACTTACTTTGAATAAAGCCCGGCATGAGGAATAAAGCGTACAAGCCCAGTGCCATGAGCTTACACACCCATCGATATCCCACACTGGAGAAATAAGAAGACATTGAGAAGATCCAAAGAAGAAAAAGAAAGATCTCATCGTACCCGAGATATGAAAGGAGCTTGAAGCTGAGCTGCGTGATCAAGTAAGTCTCCGAGGCAGCGTGTTGGAAATCCGCTTTGAAAGAAGGCTGCTGCTCGATGGGAGTCCCCACAATCATCTCCGTGACAGCTCTTCTCGGCCCCTGGTGCCGCCGTCCAAAAGAGGGCGCGTGAAGCGCCAACGCGGCATCCGCCGAGGCGCGCCGCGTGAGCTTCCCGCTCCCATGGTGATCCTCCCGCTCCAACACAGCACAAGAATCGTCCTGCGAGCTCAACTCCGGCATTTCTTCACCCGGCGCACAGAGCATCCGGATCGATCAACGAGCTCGAAATATTTCGCTCTTACCAGCCAGATCGCTCGCCAGAGATCGCCGAAAACCGGGGATCCTTTGCGTGAGGAGCGATCGATCCCTGGCGCGCGAATGTAGCTACAGCCGAATCTTGCCCTGCCAGGATCTCTTTTCACCACTTGGAGCAACACAATAGCTAGGGCAAAGATATTATACCACAAGAGCAACACGTGTCCCACAAGGTTAGTTCCAAGTCAGCACGTCACATAGTACAAAATTCGCCCACCCCGTCAAGCCCGTCAAGCCCGTCAAGCCCGTCGTTGCCTCTTGAGCCTCTCAAGAGCTCCCAGAGGTTCGTCTTTGTCCCTGTTGTTCTCCTTCCCGGCCTTTGGATTTGCTGGAGCTTTTCCATCGTCTTCTTTTCCTCCATTCTCGGCCTTGTGAGCCAATCCTCCAAACACCGCGTCGGGAACAGCCTTTTGGACGAGCTTCTCGCCAGTCTCGTCTTCCTCGTCGCTCTCCGGCAACTCTATCTCGTCCGGATTCTTTTTCGCGTCTCCGGGAGCAAGGATCCTCCCTTCGGCCGCCTGGACTCCAGCGCTCACAAATCCCAGCTGCCTCAAACCTTCTTTCAGCGTCGACGGAGGCTGCGTCTGGCCGACCGGAGCAATCTGCCTTTCGAGAGCGGCCATTTCGTCCTCTGGAACCCCGGCGCGCTTCAGAGTGTCTACTGTTTCTTCCAGAGAGAGCCGTCCTTGATCTCGTTGCATCAAGTACTCCGGCATTATCATGTGCATCTGTTTGGAAAAGTTGATGAGCAAAGCCGGATTCTAGAGGTACGGGAGGAAGAAAACGAAAACTTGCCTGAGTGTAGCTGGCATGCACGCTACGTTTGATCCGGAGCATCTCCTTGAAAGTATCGTGGTTTCCATGCGTAACCTCGAAGTCATGCCATTTCGACCAGACCTCGGTATCTGACCGTGGATCTGCCATTTGCGACGCGTAGATGTAAATAGCACGAGCCCGATCGATCTCTCCCAACGTCCTCTCCAGCTCTGCAAACTTCAGACACATAAGCTTCGCGTCTTTGTCTGGAAGACCGGATTGAATAGCTTCCTGGAAGAAATAACAACAGAAGAGAAGGTTAAGTCACGGCAAAGAAACTACAGGAAAGCAAAAAACGAATTTTTACCTCGTAGATATCCCGTGTCTTAGGAACGCCATATATCTCAGCTGCTCTGGCAATGTAGATGTCATAGACGCTCAGCTTTTCACCATCGGGAACTGCCTTAGTCGCCCGATCGTAGATTTTCATCGCGCGTTGCGCTAGTCCAAAGTCTTCTTCAAGCTTTGCATATTGTAGATAAACTGGTTTCGCATCCTCCGGAGTAACCTTCTCGACGGCCTGCTCAAACAAGTCCCTTGCTCTTTCCAGCTTCTTCCCACCGTAGCGTTGGACAAACTTCGTGAGATACGTTGTCCAGATATCCCGTGCATGAGGATACTTGAAAACCTGGACACCTTTCTCGTACACCCCAAACGCGTCCTCAAAGTACTTGTTCTCCTCCAGCATCGCCGCATAGTTGATGATAATCTGCGGCGTAGCTATCTTGTGCACCAGAATCTGATCGTAGACCTTTCGAGTAGACTCGAGAGTACCCAGGCTCTCTTCCAAATCCACGTAAGTCGACCACAGCTTGAGTGACTTGTAAAGCTTCATCTGAACGGGAAGATCACGGTCCCCTTGCATCAGCTTCTTCGTCGCGAAAGACGGCTCCATTGTCGCCTTCTTGAGGATGTCTCGAGCAGTTTTGTAGTTTTTGTGCTTCATCTCCATCTCGGCCCAGGCGCAGTACAGGCTCGCGAGGTCGTCCACTGTCCTGTAAATCTTCTGAACTGCTTTCTCAAACACCACCCGAGCGTTCTTCAAGTCGTTCTGCGACTCGTATAGGTGCGCGTAAGCTGTCCACAGGGAGTGATACTTCCCGACAGCTTTGAAGGGGTCCACAGTCATCACCGCCTCAGTATAAGTTCTGACTTGGCGAGCAGGATTGTCCTTGAAAAGACTCGCTCGCTTGTGCCACTCATGGACATTGTGGGGATTTTGCCTGAGCACCACGCTGCTAAGAAGCTCGGGCCTCCGCTCGATCAAGTACGAAAACCTCGCCAGGAGCAAGTCGACGTCGTTCTCATCAAACACCCAGAAATCCTTGAGATTACCCTTCTTCCACTGCGCTAGAATCTTCCTCTCCCTCCTACGCTTCTTTAGCTCCTTTTCCGGCAGCGCCACCGTGTTCCCATCCGCATCCACTTCCACCATCTCCGACTCATCCAGTTCCTCCTCGGACTCCTCATCCTCCTCTCCCATCCGGCTCATCTTGGCAGAGAGCAAACTCTCCTCAAACTTGGAGTACGCATCGAAGATGAGGCTAAAGTCCCTGACCGTGGTGACCGTCGTCATCCCCTCCTCGTACACATCCCTGACTTTCTCGAACAGCGACAACCGCGCGTAGTAATCCGCCAAGGAAGTCCACAAGCGCCCGACCTCGTCCGTAAAGTTCCGGATCCCACCCCGGATGATCGCATCCACCTGGAGCCCCGACACCTCGTGTGCATGCTTGGTGAGCAAATCGCAAAGCTCAAGCCATAGCTGGTGCCGCGTCTTGGACTTGACGGACTGGAAGCTCTGATCGTTGAGAACCTCGGCCAGGCGCTCGGCGGCCTCTTGCCACTTGCCGGAATCCATCAAGAACTCGATGAAGTCCTCCATGTGTGACGGCTCAAACTTGAGGAACCGCCGATGAACTCTAAATCCCGTCTCGCTGGGCACGCCGGGTTGCCTCACGAACCTGAGATAGAGCTCCCAGATCCTCTCGTGCTGCGTCACGGGCAGCGAGAAGAGCGCCCGGTCGAACGTCCTCCTGGCCTTGGTGACATACCTCTGCTCGACCAGGGACTGGAGGTAGAGCAGCCAAATCCTGGGCATCTTGTGCATTGTGACGAGCGCGCGCTCGAAAGTGTTGTTGACGGATTCGAAGCTCGCGTGGCCCGGCGGGAGGCCGCGCACGGCCTCCATGCGCTCCAGGAGGTAGGAATGCCACAGCTTGTAGCTCCCGGGGAGGAACTTGAGCGCGCGCTCGTAGAGGATGATCCTCTTGCGGAAGGGGACATCAAACCTGGCTTGAATGTAGCGCCACCAGAGGCGCATGGAGTAGGAATTCCGGAGGATCTCCTCCTCGTACACCAGCTCCTCGTCCGTGGGGAGGAGGTCCGGATTCATCTCCGACAAGCTCTGCTGCTGCGCCATACCTGCGGAAGAACCCTAACCCTGGAATATACCCCAGATGCTTTGTACCCTTTATCTTTGATCAAATCTCGATTAAAAAGATTATAATTTTTATTTAGGTTTAATCGCCACTAGCACAACCTTTGCATCCACATGTTTGGCACTCCAAAACCTTGACCTCCCGATTGGTTCGAGGCACTCGACACACGCAACCCGTTCCGAAGGTAAAATTTGCCTTGTGTATACAGCTTGAGCAGCACAGCGTCTCAAACCCTTGGCGCTTCCAGTGCGTCATCAAGCTCCCATCCACAAGCTTGTACTCCACACAAAATTCATAGAGCTCACGCGAGATCGTCTTCTCCTTGTGGTAGAGATCAAAGATATAGCGGCTCCTCTGGTGATTGATCTTTGAGATCTCCCAAGAATCCTCACATCTCCTTTTATCCTCAATTGGATTGTTGACTACTTCCCGCATCCGAGTCTCAAAAGAATTGAGACGCTCCTCAATCTGCGACCATCCCTCCGGCTTCACGCTTGGCAACCTCATGTTCTAAAACCCTAATGACTAGTGACACCCACCCATCTTTTATATAGAGCAAGTTGAAAAGGTTTTACCTTTTTTTTAAGGTACAAATCGACGGTTAGGGGAATCGGACGCTAAAACCTCCTTCCACTTCCACCATCTCCGACTCATCAGGCCCGAGCGTGGTGCTCAAGCAAAGATCCCCACAACGTCCATATGTTTATTATTTATCATTCCACTTTATATATAAATTAAATTGAAGAACTCGAGTCGATTCGAAACCAGGATCGATTAGGGTTTAGAGGAGGCCGCGAGAGACAGAGAGAGGGAGTGCCAAAGGGCTAGATCGCAGCGCCGCCCAGCGCGATGTTTCTCTTCGATTGGTTTTACAGCGTGTTGGCCACGCTCGGGCTGTGGCAGAAGGAGGCCAAGATTCTCTTCCTAGGTCTCGACAATGCGGGGAAAACAACGCTTCTCCACATGCTCAAGGACGAGGTGAGTGGTTTCCAGCTTACCCTAGAGCTCCATCGCGTTCTGAGGCCGCCTCTCTCGCGCGCTCTTTTGGTTTTTTTTCTTTTTTTCTTTTCTCGCAATTCTTCCAGAGATTGGTACAGCACCAGCCCACCCAGTATCCAACATCCGAGGAGCTAAGCATCAACAAGATCAAATTCAAGGCCTTCGATCTGGGGGGTCACCAGATCGCGCGACGCGTGTGGAAGGACTACTATGCCAAGGTTTGACACTCATCTGAGAATTCTTTCGAATCCAATGCTTTGCCTTTGAAGCGATGCTTTGGCAAAAGTTCTTTTTGTTTTCTTGCCAGTGGTGGTTTGACTGGACGACTTGTTCTAGATCTAGTTGCTAACGATGTTTTGTCACAAACTCGTCAGATGATCTGACTGGATTCCATGGCTTGTTTACTTTGATCATCCAGGTGGACGGCATTGTTTACATAGTTGATGCGGCCGACCATGAGAGATTTCCCGAGGCGAAGAAGGAGCTGGACGCGCTCCTCTCGGACGACTCACTAGCGCAGGTCCCGTTCGTCATCCTTGGGAACAAGATCGATCTTCCATACGCGATCTCCGAGCAGGATCTACGCTACAAGCTTGGACTAAACAACTACACAACGGGCAAAGGCAAGGTGGAGCTGGGAGAGAATATGCGCCCCATTGAGGTGTTTATGTGCAGCGTTGTGAGGAAGATGGGCTATGGAGAGGCCTTCCGGTGGCTGTCGGACTATATCAAATGATGAAAATAAAGAGTATCATAGATATTCACGGCATCTTCCGCCCGGTATTTTCAGTCTGACTGACGGAATCTTCTTTTGCGCCTATATTTGAAATACGTTTTTGAGGGTTTAGCGTTGCGAGCAATGGCGTCGGCGACGAAGATCAAGGTCGTGTGCCGTGACCTCGCCAAGGCGCCATCGACGAACGGATCTGCCGGAAATTCGGAGGATAAGGTGAGCAGCGGCTTCTCGATCGCGCATTTCATCGATTTGACTTGGTATCGGACCGCTTCCCTCTCGAAATATTTCGATTCCTTTCTTGCGCTGCCTAGGACGATGGCAAGCGCAAGCGGGAGAAATCGGGGGCAAGGTGCTTGGTAAAGATCACGATCAAGATGCAAGGATCGGCCGGCAAGCCAAAGGCTGATGAGGTGAGCAGTCTTGAATATGTATCGAGGCATTTCTCTCCTCTCTGATTCCTTGCGCTGCCTAGGCCGATGAGTACCAGGCGAAGCTTGAGATCCTTGACAGCGCGGTAAAGTTTCCTTACCCTTGGAAGATGAATTGATCGAGCAGAAACTTCTTTTGTAGAAGGACAACGACGACCAGAATCGCGAGTCGCGCCAGGAAAAGCTAGATCTTCTTGAATCGGCAGACAGCGCGGTAAGATTTCCATTCTTCTTCTTCCTCGCGCAGTGAAATTGATCGCCAGAATCGCGAGTCGCCCCAGGAAAAGCTTGAGACTTTGGATCTTGAATCGGCAGACAGCGCGGTGAGATCTCCATTCTTGCTATTTCTCGGACAGGAACTTTCTTTTGTGTAGGAGGACGGCAATCTTGAGTCGCTCCAGGAAAAGCTAGAGGCTTGGCATCGTCTTGAATCAGCAGACAGCGCGGTTAGATTTCCATCCTTTCTTCTTCCTCGTGCAAGAACTTTCTTTGGTGTAGGAGGAGGACAACCACGAGCTAGAGACTTCGGATCTACTTGAGTCGGCGGACAGTGTGGTGAGATTTCCATCTTCCTCGTGCAGTGAAATTGACCGAGGTGCGTAGGAGGACGAGGACGATGAAGATAGCGAGTCCCAGGAGGAGCCGAAGGCAAAAGATTATCTCGAGGTATGAGTAGCAAGCTTCGATCATCGATAGACCCGAGTTCACTGAAATCTATCATGACGTAGGACAAAGAAGACCTCCAGGACGAGCCAGAATCCTCGGACTGTCCCGCATTACCAGACAGCACGGTATGAAAGTTTCTAGCGTTTTTACTCCATTGACTGATCAAGTCTATTGGACAAGGACGAGCACCACAACAAGCCCACGACCACGATGGACAATTTGACAAAGAAATCATCCAAGACTTGCGTCAGTGAATGGTTTCGGGTGTTGAAGGTGTTTGTTTTTTCTCATATAACTCTTGGATAACTCGTGTTTTTTGATATATTTCTAGGAGTGCCAGCAGCAACCAGCAAAGACTTCTCCTGGCAAAAGCTCAAAGGAAGAGTCGGGATCATCGAGACCATACGCCCATGGTGGAAGAGGCGATTGGTACTTTTGGATGTAGGAGTTAGTGACGTCTTCTCCACGTCAACTGGTTTGCTTTACCAGCTTTTGTTCTCACGTACTCGGAAAATTCTCACAGATTACCCGCTTCTGTTTCCTTTTTATAACCGGCTAGCTCCCAGACACTGGTTAGACTCCTTGATTTTCATCCATTGCTCAGCAAGATTATTGAGCATTTGAAAGATCGTAGGGTAAACGATCGAGCGATATGGGTTTCGTGAGTCTGAAGGGTTTGGTAACTCCGGAGGATGTGATCGGCGACGAAAGCTGGAAGATCCGGGACCTGGATCTTCCTAACTACTGGGAAGATCCCGTGGGCTTCCTAACTGGCTATGTATCAGCACTGATTGGCTACAGGTAAGACGAACCCAAATCCTCCTCACATAACACTTGATCACTGGCGCGCAGTGGAGACTTCAACGGCAAGCGGGATTGTCACGCCTTACGACATGTACGCGTGCCTGGACAGGGAGATGGACAAGAACGACGGGCCTTACCTCCTCTTTGGCGTGCTCTTGTCCAGGGGGTTTCGTGTCACTTTTTACAGGTGGGAGCGCGGTGGCTATGGCGACGAGGTGCGCAAGGACGTGTGCTATCCCGCCTTCAATTTCAACATACCGCACGAGGTTCGCGACGTGATCGGGCCGACCATCCGCGGAATGCTGAATGAAGTCATTCGCCAAGATCGCACCGACGCTCGGAACAATCTCAAGGTGCTCAAGGCGGGAAAAGACGCCAGGATGATCCAGCCGCATGAGTACGATCTGTTCGTGGACTATCCAGATCGTGATGTTATTCTGGTGTGAAGCTTGTGCTTGACCAAGTTTGGGTTCATTGCTGTGGCCTAGAGATCGCAAGGCTTTTTTTGTTTTTCCTCTACTTTGGCTGCTAGTTTGACGAAGGCAAGCCGCCTAGACGGGCACAACAAGCGCCGGCAACCGGATTCTGTCGCCAGTTAAAGTCCTCCATTAACTCAAAGTACGCATCGCTTGACATGAGTTCTTGAGAGTGAGGGAGCACGGGGAGGGAAAACCAAGTCTTTGCACTCTTCTTTAACTTCATCTCTGCTTGTGAAGTTTTGAATTTGGTAGCAGCTCAATTTTGTGAGGGAAAGCCTTGAAGATTTTAATAACTTCAATTATATTGCTTAGGTCATATGATTAGTGGATTTTGCATCATTTTTCTCCTAACCGCTCGGTTTTCTAACAATTTCTCACAGCTAGAAGGTCTATTTGGGTTGTTCTTTGATGTGTCACCAATGCCTGACCTGGTCACTGAACGTGGATTGGAATGGAGGAGGAGGGGAGGATTGGGAATTCAAATATTAGAACAGCATAGCCTGGTCTGAGGAGCCTAGTTTGCGCCTGCCTGTGCCTGACGAAGGATCACTGTCCCTAAATAGTACTTTAGCAGCCATAGTGTTGTAGATCTTGAAAATGATGCCAGCCATGATGCTTTAGATATGACGAAAAGAACACCTTATTTTGACATGTAGAGACCAAAACAACCATAACTCCTAGGATATGAAGCACCTCGGCTACCACTTTAGCTCGTCAAAAAGAGGAGATCAACAGCTTTCTAACAAGGCAGAACTACCGCATTCAGAAGATGCCATCACTGGAAACTCAGCACTACAAACTGGAAAAGAACAAAAAGTTGTCCAGCAAATCTGGAGATCAAAACAAATACAAGAGCCTCAAAAGGACTCAAAGGGAATTGTTGCAGTGAGAGTTTAAGATGCATGAGTGGAGGGCTGAGCTACTTCAAAGAGTATTGGTGTAAAGAAAGGAGATGCCACATTGCACAGTTGTGACCATTTGCTGCTACCAAGAAATTAAATGTTTACTCTCACTCAACTCCTCATAAGCACCTTCCATGACTCGTTAGGTGTATGGTTGAACGGTTTGAGATGTGGCTATCACATTTTGGCCTCCTTTGAATTCAGTTGCTGAAAAGAAGAAGAATTTATCATTGAGATCAGTGAAAAGATTTTGCTCACCCAAGTTTTTGTCTTCCACAAAGCCTAAAATTGGTACCACTCGCGATGGATAGACAAATATTAATGTAGATTTTCCCGTCTAATTGAAACACCATCATCTTCTCTGGGTGTGTAGTAACACCAAGCTGCTCCCAATCCATCAATGAATAGGCAAAGTTAGCATTAACCTATCCCATTAGCCAAGCGCAGCAGAGAAACAAGAGGTAGGGTTAATCCAGGAGAGCCTGAAAGAATGGCGTTTGCATCCCTCGGGTTGTTAGTAAATGGGGTCACTGAGACCCCCCCGTAGTGCTAAGTCGGTGGTACCCAAGGAGGCCCGATGCGTTTTGTAAAAATTTCTTCCTAAAAGGTTAGTGAATCGTTTTTCCACCGTGAAAGACGAAAAGGGTTTTAGTCCCAAGGTTTGGGGTTTATGCCAATGAGCGATGGCGATGGGAAAACGAGGCTGGCCTTCTGGCAACACATGGTGGCGGGCTCGCTCACGGTCGAGCACTCGGCAATGTTCCCGGTGGACACCGTCAAGACCCACGTCCAGATGACTCCATCGTCATCCTCTTCTCCCTGCTCTTGCGGCTCGCTGCGAGCCCTCTCCGGCGCTGTGCGATCCATCCTCAAGAGCAATGGCCCCGCGGGCTTCTACAGGGGCTGGGCGCGGTGGCGATCGGCGCTGGGCCCTCGCACGCCCTCCACTTTGCGGTGTACGAGCTCGTCCGCGATCGGCTCGAGGACGAGCACCGGCGGCGCCACCACCGCGTGGCGGCGGACATGGCCGCGGGCGCCGCCGCCACCATCGCCCTCCACACGCCCATGGACGTGGTGAAGCAGCGCCTCCAGCTCGGCCACCGGGCCGGCGTGTACGGCTGCATACGGAGGATCTCCGTACCGAGGGGTTCCGGGTGTTTTACGCGTCCTACGGCACCACGGTGCTCATAAACGTCCCCTTCTCCGCCGTACAGTTCGCCATGTACGCGGCCGTCAAGAGGAGGATGCTGGACGCCGGGGAGCATCGGCGTACGGACGGGGACGTGACGACGCCGCCGGGGCCGCGGCGGGGGCGCTGGCCAGCGGGTTTACCACCCCGTTTGACGTGGTAAAAAAGAGGCTTTCTCTTCTTGTTCATCTTGCTCATGTGATGGAATTTTCTTACCAGGGTGTTTGCGGTGCTGCAAAGCATGGGACGAATTCTATAGCTGCGGTTGCGCAACACATTGTTGCAAAGGAAGGCTGGGCGGCGGGTCGCCATCCACGGCGATTATCTGGTCGACTTACGAGGCTGGGAAGGCGTTTCTACGTACTTTGGACTCGTCCAAGGCAAGCGCGAGCGTTAAAAACCAATGGTTTTGTTTTTGTTGAGAGATCGTCTAGTTATCTAGACTCATTACAATTTTGTGAGATGCCTGTATCAAATTATTCATGTTGCAAAAAACGCTATTATATGTACACGAAGAAAATCAATCCTAGAAGAAGCACAAGCACAGCAACACAAAGAAGCCCACGAACAAGAGCATCTTGGACAAAAACCTCTCTTGCTCTTGCTGGGCACTTAACGCAGCATTAGCGGGATTACTCGTCCCATTCGCACTAGCACCAGCACCGCCGCCGCTGCCTCCATTTCCTCCTCGGCTCCCACCTCCGGCTCCGCCGCCGCCACCATTCCCGCCACCGCCACCGCCGCCAGAAACTCCCGCGCTCCCAAACCCGAGGTCGGGGAAGCCGTTGCTCGTGGCGGAGAAGCCAAAGAGGAATGGAAACAGTCCAAAGCCGAGCGTCACGTTTCCAAACTGCGTCGTCGCCGATGGCCCTGTGAAGAAACTAAAGCCCATTTGCTGGAACGCTCCTCCTCCGGAGTGAGAATTTTGCCTGTGCTGGTGTGGGAGATCGGTCCTCTGGCCGGGCGGGCGATTGGGGATATTTTCCACGCCCTTTTTGCGCGGATCGCTGGTGCCCTTGCCGCGGCCATAGATCGGGATCACCTTGGCCTCCTCCACGGCGGATTTGCAGACGGGGCATTCTGTGCAGCTGGATCGCGAGGCGAGCCAGCGGTAGAGGCAGGGCCAGCAGAAGAGATGGCCGCAGTGCGTGACCACCGGATCCTGCGCAAGCTCCAGGCAGATGTTGCAATCGTAGCTACCTGATCCGCCATCGCTGCCGCCGGCGCTGGCGCCATTGCTGGTGGCGCCGCTGGGATCGCCGGTGCTGGAATCCATGCGAGAGGATCGATGGAGCAAGCCCTAGAAATATCGTGGACCAAATGGCTAGGGTTTTTTTCCTTTATCTTCTTTTGTGTTAAGTTTCCAATGACGAGGGCTTTCGTCGTTGGTTCTCACGGGGTTGGGGCGGTGTTTGCGCCAGGCGCTAAAGAGCGCTGGCGATGGAGCTCAAGGATCTCTTCGACGATCAAGGTATGGCATGGCGCCGCGCATTCTGATCCGGCTAGTTTGATATTCTCGGAATTCCTGGAATTCGGCTGAATTTCACGTGATTGATCGCGTGATTTTGTTGACATGCTTTGGTGTTGTCCCTTTCGCTAAAACTCTGTCTTTTTTCTTTTTTTCCAGGCTATCTCGTCCTTGAGAATTTTGCTAGCGATGATGAGTGCTCGGGAATGATGAGTAGAATGGAGTTTCTGTTGGAAGGCTTTGATCCACAGACGATATCAGTCTTCTCGACTAAGAATCAGGCAAGACACCTTTCTTACTGTCTTTCTTTCTTCTTCATCTTTGGCGTTCCATTTTTATGAATTTCAGAAGGAGCGCACGGACAATTACTTCTTTGAAAGCGCGAATAACATCTCCTTCTTCTTCGAAGGTACGATAGCATTGCGATGCTATTCTCATGCGTGCTTGACTTGCAAAGCTCATTACCAGAGAAGGCGTTTGATCCCGAAGGGAAGCTCAAGCAGCCCAAGTCTCTTTCGATTAACAAAGTCGGCCACGGTAAGTTTGTATCGCCGGTTGACCGCTGAACTCAGGATTTGTCTTTGCAGCTTTGCATGAACTCGATCCAGTCTTCAAAAGTTTTACAGATTCCAAGAAAGTAGGAGCATTACTAGAGCTTTTGGGATATAAAAAACCCGTGTTGATGCAGTCCATGTACATCTTCAAGGTAATACATTGTTGCTCCTATTTATTTTCCTTACAGTTTTCATGATCCAGCAACCGGGAATCGGTGGCGAAGTTGTTCCTCATCAGGATAATTCTTTTCTCTACACGGATCCACCATCCTGCACGGGGCTTTGGCTGGCTTTGGAGGAGGCAAACAAATCAAACGGCTGCTTGTGGGTGCTGCCAAAGTCTCACAGAGGTACTTACTGACAAAAAGAAATTTCGGTTCTAAACAAGTCCATTATCGCTAGCTGGAGTTGCGAGGAAGTTTTTGCGTGACGAGAACGGGGTCAAGTTTGACAAATCTCCCCCAACTTATGACATGTCTCAGTTCGTCCCCGTTGAAGTGAAAGCGGGCTCGCTAGTCGTAATTCATGGCAACCTTGTGCATCAAAGGTACGTGTCGAGATTTCCAAACTCATTTTTGTCGTTGACAAATGAGGCACGCAGCTTTGAGAACAAATCTAGCAAATCCAGGCACGCATACTCTGTCCACGTTGTGGAGAGTGAGGACTGCGTTTGGTCCAGTGACAACTGGTACGCAAAGCTTTACTTTTGTGCTTTTTCTTAACTTTTTTCGACAGGATTCGGAAGAAAAACCTTGGCTGATCAAAGGCACAGGAGTTCCAGTTTCGCAAATACTATCATAGAGAATAGAGAAAACACTACTTCTTATACCATAATGTCATACTTGTTGAGATACTGGACAAGACCATCGAAATCCACTGCATGTCCGAAATTGTGTATCGTCTCACGTAGCCATTTCATGCGGTGGCCAAATTCTCTCAAAAGTTTCTTGCAAAACAATACAAAGGGATCATAAGTAAGTTACACCGCCTACGGATCCTCGACAGTAAGTTAATATCTCCACGTAAAAAAAAATCGTTCCCAAAAAGGAAATAGAATTACTTTTTCTTACGTGCCAGCTCGACTCATGGAAATTGCTCCTCCATTAACAGCAACACCTTTCCCTTTCCCGCCCAGCATCCTCCTCACCGAAACGAGGGGGTCCATCTTCTCTCACAAGAAACGCAACCGTTATACAAAAGAAACAAGAGAAAACAATCTCGCAGTACTCACCTTATTGACAGCGGCAGCCTTGTCTCTATCACTCACAACGCCGGACTTCGCATTCGTCGCGGCGCAAGAGAAGATAGCGTCGATCGTCATCTGCCAGCCACACTTTCCTGACTGATCTGCCGCATTCGAACTTATCCAAGGACAAAAATAGCGATGGTGATGGACGGGATCGAATTCGCTCGGGCTGCCTGTCACAGTTCACAGAATCGTGACGGATAACCAACGAGAAAACAAAAAAATTCCTAGGACAAAACCGAGGAGCATCTAACGTACCACTGAAAATCGCGGCTTCCTTTGCAACGTCCTGGCTCGCGGCCTTCTCTCGGCTCAGTACTGTGTCCTGCTCCTCGTCGCTTCCTTGTGGAGAGCACTCCACACTCTCGGCAGAGTTTTCGTGCCTGTTGTGGTTATACGACGTCTCCACCGCGTTCACGGACGAGCTGCCCGGCAAGCCGTCCACGGCTTTCAGTTTCTTCCTGTGTGCCGACTCCGAATCACGTTTTCTCTTGCTGCTCGACCTGTCCTGTACCGTTGTTTTCTCGGCCGGCTCTTGCTCCAGAGTCGACTTTCTCGGCTGGAAGTCATCGTGCCGCTGACTGTTGAGCCCCGGAATGGGAATGGAGGCCGGAGAGGGTGCTGAGAGTCGCGTTGGTCGTGGACCGCCGGCTATAGTAAGAGTGAGATCGAGACCCGGGTTTTTCTTTGAATCGTCGACCGCAGCGGCGTCGTTGTCTTCGGAGATCGTGGCTTCTGCGTTGACAGTGTCGATGTTTTCGGCTGCGTTGTCGTCAACGTGTGCATTGACATCACCGGCGGGGAGGACTTCAACGTTCTTCTTCGCGGATGCTTCGATGGTTGACAAGATTGCCGTGATGGAGAGCGAAGAACGGCTCAAAGTCCGGAACCTCCACAGCCCAACGCTTGCCTTGCACAGACGACACTCCAAAACTGCTGAGCAGGGATCGCTGCCTGTTGCAAGAGAAACCCTGAGCTCGTGAGAATCCACATTGGAGTCGTGACTATCAACAGCGTAAGGAAGAAGCCGCACCTCCCATCCACAGAGACTTATAAGCTTTTGGGCCTGTAAGTTATAGCAAACGATCAGACCTTGACAAGACAAACTACAGCTTTACCAACCTGTAGAAACGCCTCGTATGTTTGTCGCAGCTTTTGCACAGCCTCTCCTTGTGCAGCTTCTAACTCTCGGACTGCAGCATCATTCGAAGGCAACGCCAGCAAACTTGCAACTTGATCCCCTCTCGAGATCTTCATGCGCTCGACAGTCGAAGAGGAAATCACCGGAAGATCAGAGAGAAGTGCCACGGATTGCAAGCGTGCTTCGTATGCTTGAACTAAAACTGGAGCAGGAGTTGGCGGAAAAGCTGCAAGATCTTCGCCACAGCCATTTCCTTTCCACGGACAAGATGTCTTGTGGCCATCGTGAAGCTTTCGCGAAAACTCCAGCCCCGCCGTTTCAACTGGCATTCAATCAAGGAAATAAGATGACGGTCTCTAGTCACACAGAAAAGTACCTTCCTTCTTCGACCATGTCGCTGGAAAGGAGAAACTTAGACGCGATCCACAGACCTCGCAGCAGAGCAAATCCATATCGACATTGATCCATCCTCTTTGTGCACAGGCAACAGGGCCCGCTGCCTGATAGCAAGAGTGAGATGAGAAAGAGAAGCAGGAGTTCTTCTCACTTACCGATGGTTTTCCAAACCAGCTCACGGATTTAAAGGTCCCCAGGCGCCGCAACAAATCTTCTCGATCCCATGGCCGGCAGCTCGGCGTGGAACTGGACGCTATTTCTCCAGCATTCTTCTCTCCGGCATTCTTCTCACCGGGACTTCTCTCAAGCGCGAGAGGCGTGACGACCCGGCGCTCCAAAATGCTCTTTGTTGGTGGAGACGAGGAGCTTCTCAAAACATAAAACGAAATCTAAGCTATGAATAGCCACGAATACTGCGAGACATTACCATGAAGACGCCGCCTGGATCGGCGACGAGAAGATCCTGTCCATCGCTCGCTGAATGCGCTGCTCGGCATCGTCGTCCTTGTCGCCGCTCGTCATCCCGAGTGAAAGCCCTAGATCATTATTTCCCTCAAGAACCCTAAAGAGTTTGGGAAGGACAAGGGAAAAACCCTAGGAAGGAAGCGCACAGCGGCGCCATTGTGTTTGAGCGGTCGATCGTTTGGCGATGGCGGGGCCTGCGGGGGGTCCATACTCCGGGACGAGCACACTGGCTATGGTGAGCGCCTCCATCTCTCGCCCAGATTGAGCTCGTTTGATCGGGTTTGTTCCGTGGATCTTAGGTCGCTAGAGTCTCTGCGTTCTCATTTGGGCTTGTCTATGGTGCGATGAAGTTAAGTTACTTGAAGGTAATCTTTGCGATCCCACCTTTTCTTGCTTGTTCACGGTTTTCTTTATTGTTTCTTCGTAGGCAAAGGCTCGATCGGAGCAAAGGGCTGCCGCCAAAATGGCACACTGAGACGGAGAGAACTTTCCACAGCCACCTTCCATTTCAACCCTCGGGGACTCTTTTGATAAACCTTGGAATGGTATGGTTCATTTTTCCGCAATAGCAGCAGCTAGCAACGAATTTTTCCCCCGAGGATTCTAATCTCTTCTTTTTGGATCATTTGGATCAAAGAATAAGCTCCTGGAGAGTCTCTTTTTCCGAAGAAGTTCTGCTCTTGCTCGCTGGGCCTTGATGACACAGAAACATTTCTCGATGCTGAGAGGAAAAAAAATATCCCTGCTGAGAAATCGTGCGTAGTGTCTGATGCCCAGGACCAAGGACTTAAGGGTTTTTAGGGCACATGGAGGATGGCACATGGATGTGCCATGCATGTAGCCATGATGCGGCCATATCCACTTGGCGCAAGTTGCCTGATATTGACGTGACAGTGATGTGGGATCCGCATGCATGCCAATGGATGCGTAGGTATGCGCATATATGACAGGCCACAAGTGGGCACATGGGGCCGCTAGGATGGCTCGCCGAGCTTGCTTGTGACGAGCAAGTGAGGCACCAGGAATTGGATGTAAGCGCTGTAACTCTTTTTTTTCTTGTTTGTAAAGGTTTTTCGTTCTTATATTTTCCTGTAGTTCGCGATTTTGTTCTATCCGTGGGGCTGCAGACAAGCATTTTTATACGCATTACTATTTACAATATCATGCTTTTTTCCCGCCTTTTGCAACTTGCTTCTGCCGCCAAGGAAAATCTTAAAACGCTCCGCTGACGCAGCTTGGTGTTAAATTTTTCCGCCATGGCAATGATAATGTAATGAGCCGAAGGCGGTGTTCAACGAATTCTCGTACGGAGGCGGTGGTTTCTTGTGGACAAGGCGCGGCTTTTTGGATCGGGGAATCAAAGGGCAACTTGGTGTGTACGGTAGGGCGACATGTCGCACGTGCGATCCTACATTCGCTGCTACCAACGTTTGCCTAGTGGATGAGGTTGGGCGTACGGCGGGCATCAAATAGTATATCCGGTGGATGGCATGGTTGCACGGCATGCCATGGCATGGCATGGGCAGTATGGGTCCATCAATGGGATCTCCTCCTATGGTTACTTACACCCTCCTCGTCGCTGTGGTCCGGCTGTGTTCTAGGTAGAGCTGCGCTCCCCTCCCTCCTTCTCGATCATTGGCGCAGGGCTGGAATCGCGAGCGCCGAGCGCCTCACGATCTCTATCTGCTCAATCCGGAGGTGAGAAGCGCCTCTGCTGGGATCCCCGCGGTGGAAATCCCGCTGCCGGGGCCGGAAATTCCCCTCGCATTGGGGCTTGCGGGGCTCGTCCGAGGCGGCGCTGGCGGAATCCGGCATGGGAGCGCGGGCGTGAGAGTGCGCGCGCGATCGGTCGATATTTCGGGCGGCGAGGGAGCGGCAGCGCTGGATGCAATGTGCAGGGTAAGCGCGAGCGGGCGAATCTTGGCGCTCTCTTTCTCTTGATCCAAGATCCCTCTTCTTGTTCTTGGAGCCAAAAGAGGAATCAGCGAGAAAGAGATAGAGAGCGATGCTGATGAAATCCTGTGTGCAGCAAGGAGGAAACCACGACGCATTCGGGCGGTTCGAGCAAGATCACGACGACGGGGATCGGCACCGGGGCCAGCGCCTGCGCGAGCGGCGGCGGCGCCACGGCGGCGGCGCAGCGGAGGAAGCGGCGATGGGGCCTTCCGCGGAGGATGGATTGCACAGCCAGGTGTGGCGGTGGATGTACCAGCTGACGGACGAGGAGGTGGAGAAGCTGCCCGAGGAGGTGTGGGAGTACCACCGCGCGCGCAGCGGCGGCGCGGGCATCGGGCCCAACGAGTGCTGCTCGGTGCTGATCCAGCGCGTGAGGGCGCCGCTGCCGGTGGTCTGGTCGGTGGTGCGCCGCTTCGACAAGCCCCAGCTCTACAAGAACTTCATCCGGAGCTGCAGCTTCAAGGGGGACGAGTTAAGGGTGGGGTGTACGCGCGAGGTGACCGTCGTCTCGGGCCTGCCCGCCACCTCCAGCACCGAGAGGCTGGAGATCCTGGACGATGACAAGCACGTCTTGAGCTTCCGGGTGGTGGGCGGGGATCACCGGCTCAACAACTATCGCTCGGTGACTAGCTTGCACGAATTCGACGTTGAGGGGGCCAAGGGGACGCTGGTGGTGGAGTCGTATGTGGTGGACGTGCCGCCCGGGAACACGAGGCAGGATACTTGCTTGTTCACGGACACGGTGGTGCGATGCAACCTCCAGAGCCTGGCACACATGACGGAGAAGCTGGCGGTGGCTTGTGCTAGCGAGCAGCATCGCCAGCTCCATCAAGCAAGGTGAAACTTTGCTCCTTCGTTGTGGTGTTTTTTTTTTCTTTTTTCCCTCTCTTTCTCCCTCTTTTGGTTTTGGGCCTCTCGTCGCCTTTTTATTTTTTTCTCAGTTTATTTGGAGAGGGTGGTTCTCGCTTTCTTTTCTTGCTTCCCCTTTTTCGCTGTCTTTTAAGAGAATCCTGCTACTTCTGCTGCCGCTGCTGCTGCTGCTGCTACTCGTTGTCTTTACTTTTCTACTTTCTCTTTTGAGGGGACACTCCTTAAACTCTTTCTTAAGGTCTCGGCAAGACGAACACAGGAAGAAGAAAGACAAAGAAGACGAAGCAAACGAAACACACACACGCGATGAACTGCTCAGGCGATTACTGCTTAAGAGCTCAACCACATCTTATCTCTCTATTTCTTCCTTGCATGCTGTATTTATCATGTGTGGCAATGGCAATACATGATGCTCTCCGTTTTTTTTAATTTTTCTTTGCAGCCTCAGTGATTCGGGCAGGACTGGTCGATCGATAGCTAGCTCTCAAACAAAACAGCGCAGGGGGCAGCGTTATCGCTGGCAGCAGTCTCAGAAATAAAACGAACGGCATGCCCCGCTAGAGGGGGGCGTGGAAATGATCGACACCATTTAGGTGGAATGGGACAATCCAGCTTTGGTACTGTACAACGGAATTTGGCCTATAGCCAGGTTTTGATATCTCGCAGCATGGCTCATGGCATATGGGAAAGTTAACTTAAGCCCAACATTAGCAGCCACTCACCTCGAGGAGAATGAGTGCTTCATCCGCCCAAGGGGTTGGTCTGGAGGCTCTGGAGAAAGCTTGTTCCATTGCACAGCTTCGTGGTAAGCACAATCACGTCATGTTTCATCGATTCCTGCAGGAATATTTGTCTCCAGCACGTTAGGAACAGAAACGTTCTTCTAGAGAAAGGGTGAGACATACCTGAGCGCTCAGGAATCGCAGGGCTGATATCTCGGCAAAGGTGACTCCGCCAATGAAAACCACCAGCACCAGTGCTCGGCGACCGTCCACGCTACAATCAAATCGTTTTGTCGGTGTTAAAGCTCAAGATTTGGTTTCTCTTTTCTCAGCTTACTTGTTCGCGAGGTCGGTTAAGTTGTTCGCTGATGGCATTCTTTGATGTCCTGTTGTTAAGTTGGTCAAAGACGGTGGTCTGTGAGAGAAGCTACTTCTTCTTTGCTGCTGTGATCCCTATAAAACGAACTTTTCTTTTCCTTTTCTCTTTTAAATTTAACTCGGTTCTTTACCTGTCGTTCTTCGAAAGTCGCTCCGGGAAGCAGCTTCATCATATCCTCAATCCCTCGCCTGCAGCGAGTGGATAAGAGTGAAATAGTCAAACAGCAGTGTTTAGCTTAGGCACCAAACTTACTCACCAGCCACTAGCATGCAGTGCATGTTGTACCAGTCTAATGCTCAGAGGAGCATAGCCCGAGAATGCGTAGGAGATATCCTTTGGACTAAAAACACACACGCACAGAGTTGGTCAAAACACGAGTTGCCTATTCCTGAAAACTCTGTTACTTTGAGTCGTCCGTATCGCTCACCACCAATCTGAGGCCCCGTTTCAGAGTCAGCCAATTGCTCTTTGATTCCTTCACAAGCGGGGAAAAAGCATTACCGCATAAGATCCTGACATCCGAACGACATCATACCTGCTTTCGCAAAAGCCCCGCCCTTTCCAAGTCGTTGATAAAAAATAAATTTTCCCAGCCATAGCTTTGAAGAAGCTCCCTTCTGCCCAAGACGAGACCCATTCAAGCATGTCAAGCCGATAGAAGAGAAAGGGACACGAACCGGAAGTAATCAAAATGCTTCTTCTGTAAGCCATTGTTCGTTACTGAGAGAATAACGAGCAGTCTCAGAACGCTGATCAGTGGCTCCTGCTTGTTGATCATCTCTTCGATATACTCATAACAACTGATTCAGAAAGTGCTAGTGTCAGACTGAAAAAATATAACAGCATTATAACGTACATATCATATTCCTGACCTTCAACGAGAGTCTGCTCCATAATCAACCGGCTCATGAACGAGCGCTTCCTGGTAAACGTGGTCAAATATTGAGAAATATCAATGTGTCGCTGAAAGAATAGCATCAGCACTTTGTTGTTTGCAAAGTACGATCTCACCGTCATCTCCGGAAGTGCATGCATCTTTTTGACAAACTTCTTGAGGTCTGAGAATTCTTGGTTCTGGACAAAAATATTAGGCACGGTAATTAAAAACGAGGTGCTACACTTACAGTAGTTTTAACATCCGTATAATCTTGCTTCATGCTAGCTGCTTTTTCACGTAAAATCTGAAGACCAGGCTCGGAATTCATGACCGCAAAAACAAAACAACAGGAATTACCCCTCCCACAACTCCAAAGTTGAGATCACGTAGATCTCTATATAATTTGTCACTGCAAAAAAAAAAAGAAAAAAATATAAGTGCATTCTACAAGTTGGATCATTTAATAACCTTGAGTTCAGTGGAACCTTCACCTTCTTGTCCCCACCCAAAATTGCAGGATCCAGCTCAACACAACCGTTGTTTATGTTTAAAAACTGAAATAAATATACTCATAGATGTTGCCAGAATAGCATGTTCTTACCTCGTCGACAAGACCCTCGTAGGTCAGCTGAGAGCACATCGGAGTTACAAGGTCCACCTAATGGACAGCTTTCGGTCAGATTTCAGATAAGCATGCTGGTACCTGTCTGTCGAGAAGGATTAGTGTGTCGATTTCCGGTTGTCCTTCCTGAAAAACAAAGCACTTGTGAAACTCTATCAAGAAAACTCGACATGTTTACGGGAGTAGTCAAAGCTTGTTCTTCTTGCATTTTCTTCATGATACTGAAGACTTTCTTTGCAGCGTCACCCTTTCCCTTCACATTTGGAATAAGACCAAACCGCGACTGCGACGAAAGCAAACATATTTCAAATTTAGAGATGGATTCAAGCAATTGATGAAACCTGTAGGTTGTTAATTGTCAGTGCCAAATCCCACAAAGAGGTCGGGTCACCGTCGACTTGAAGCTCCTGACACCAGTGTTATCTCTAGAAACAAATTGCGAGGAATAAAACTTACTTTCAAAACAAGCTCATGCTCCAGAGACAGTACATCGTCGTCAAAGGGTATAGGAAACATGCGGTACTCGCCAAAAGTAATGCCACCGTGTACTCCTTCTGCTTCTAAGACCTGGCAATATGAACGATGCAAAACTCAGAAAAGGAAACAAAGGAAGTAAAAAGTCTCACCTTCTCGCACGCTGTAGATCTTCTGGGCATGAAATACAGCGAGTACTGCCTTTCCTGTTGGTTTCGTTTATCATGTTGGATCTGAGCGGCTATAAGTTTCATCAAGGTCAAGTGAGGCCTGACAATATAAATAACGTTCGTGCAATCGGACTGAATTGGATCTCCGGAGAGATGAGATAAATTCTCCACTCCATGTTCCTGGACAAGCAAACGATGCAGAGCAATGCTGGAAAACCAACACTGATCAAATCACCTTTAAAAGAGAAATCTGGACGATAAGTGTGAGCGGTCCACTGAGCTTGGGATCCAGAACCAGGAGCTTCCTCCCCCGCATCTGGCAAAAAATCTTAGCACACACAAGGCATTCTTTTGGCAAAAACGACTTACCGAATCGAGCGCCTCGACAAGATCCAGCTGCGCTTCCTTCCTAAATTCAAGCGAGAGTGACAAGAATCTAGAAGGAAATGTAGAATAGACCTCAATCCGATGAGATTGATCGGCGCATTCTCCAGAGGAGGCAGCTGCGCCATAGCGACGCTCTTCCTCGACGAAGCTTGAATAGTTTAGAACCCTAAAAACCAGTGGAAATATTCCCTAAAGCCCTAAGGAAGGGGCGATGGCGCCGTTAGGATACAAGAAAAATTTCCGGGCGACGCCGGCATTGCAGCTCTTCTACACGGGAGGGCCGCTGCGTCTCGCGCCGGATGCCTCGTTCCTTGCCTGCGCTTGCAACGATGAGGTCAAGATCGTCGACATCGCCACCGGCACCATTCGTAAGTCTCTAGCAGGCGATTCCGAGGCTATCACAGCATTGGCGATCAGTCCCGATGGAAATACGCTCTTCGCGGCCAGCAGGAGCTTGCAAGTGAGGATCTGGGATCTCGCCACTGGCACGCTTTGTCGATCGTGGAAGGTATTGTATTGCTAGAGCTTTGTATTTTTCTTTCGAAATTTACTGTGGTTTTTTCTAGGCACACGATGGGTCTGTGACTGACATGGACGTATCGATGTCGGGGCTTCTAGCCACAGCCAGCATTGATCGAAGCATTCGAGTGTGGGATGTGGATGGAGGATTTTGTACGCACGCGTTCCGGGGGCACAAAGGCATCGTCACAAAAGTGATTTTCCATCCGGACCCGCATCGTTTGCTGGTAAGGAAAATATCAAAGGAGAATCGACGTAATGCTTTGTTGTTTCTCCAGCTCTTTAGTGGCGGTGACGATGCCACAGTACGGGTGTGGGATCTGGTGACGAAAAAATCTGCCGCTCTTTTGGAGAAGCATTTCTCGACTGTCACCAGCTTGGCAGTTTCAGCGAATGGCTGGAGCTTGATTAGTGGTGCGAGGGATAAGGTATTTCTTTTCTCGATCAAGTTTTTAGGACAATATGGTGTTGTTGCGTGACAGGTTCTAAATATTTGGAGTCTTCGTGACTATAGCCATGAAGGAACTGTACCGGTATTTGAAGCAGTGGAAGCAATCTGTGTTGTTCCAGATGGCTGCAATCTACCAGGAAGCTCTATCCAGAAGAAGAAGGGCTCGAAGCCGAATGTGTTAACTGTTGGCGAGCTTGGAGTTATCCGTGTTTTCTCTGCCGAAGGGTCCGTATGAGGAATGATCATTAGTTTGTCTTACATTGATTTTGTTTTCGTTTCTGGTGATTGCAGTGGAAATTGCGTATACAAGCAAAATTCTTCCGATGTTTCCATAGCAACAGAAGACGCGGACGAGACAAAGCGTGGGTTTACTGCGGCATATATTCTTCCAGATGCAAAAGGAGTTCTTTGCATCACGTACGATCACCGCCTTTTCTTTTACGAGCCATTTCTAGTGGACGACAAGCAAAGAGATTTGCGCATCAGCAAGCGCCTTATAGGTTGCAACGATGAAATAACCGATTTGAGATATGTTGGAAGCGACGAGACTTCTCTTGCCGTGGCCAGCAACGTGGAGCAGGTAAAAGTGGAATAAGAACTGTGAGTTTTCAACAATCTGTGTTGTAGGTCCGCATTTACGACTTAAGCTCCATGGCCTGCACACAAGAGCTCACCGGTCACACGGACATTGTCCTTTGTCTGGACACTTGCCTTTCATCTCAAGGAAAATCAGTGCTAGCTTCGGGTGGTAAGGACCATACGGTATGTGCTCTGAAATCTAGGAATCTAACAAAAACCGTCTATGTTGTGCTCGAAGGCGAGACTTTGGGATGTTACCTCTGGTAAATGTTTCGCGATGTGTACTGGCCACAGTGCTGCAGTCGGAGCCATTGCCTTTTCAAAAAAGAAACGCAGTTTTCTGCTGACAGGAAGCAGGTACCAGCATTGTTTAATATTGCACCGTCCATCTGATTTTCTTCCGCAGGGATCGCTCTATCAAGTTCTGGGACTTTCAGTTTGTTATAGATGACAATCAACAAGATAGAGTTGCCAAGCTTTCGTGTATCCGTTCTGCCGCTGCACATGACAAAGATATCAACTCGCTTTCTGTGGCTCCCAATGACAGCCTTCTATGCAGCGGATCTCAGGTATTCCAAATTAATCACAGTGATGCAAATGGTGACGCGTCTGCAGGACGGGACAGCTCGTATTTGGAAGCTCCCGGAACTCACTCTAGCTACGACTTTGAAAGGGCACAAACGAGGCGTCTGGTCTGTAGAGTTTTCTCCTATCGACCAGTGCGTATTAACGTCCTCCGGCGATAAAACTATACGAATATGGGCACTCTCCGACGGTTCTTGTCTAAAAACATTTGAGGGCCACACCGCCAGTGTTTTGAGAGCTTCATTTCTATCTCGCGGAACACAAATAATTTCTTCTGGTGAGTGTCGCCCTCGTTAAAAATTTTGCAACTGAACATGTCACGCTTAGGTGCGGATGGACTGGTAAAGCTATGGACTATCAAGAGTAACGAGTGCATAAACACTTTTGATCAACACAACGACAAGGTTATAAAGTAGAAAACAGCACGTCTCCGGCTACTTACTTCTTCTTCGTATCCAAACACAGATTTGGGCCTTAGCCGTGAACAGCAACAATGAATCGTTTGCTACTGGAGGGGGTGATGCATTGGTCACTTTGTGGGAGGATTGCACCGCCTCTGACGAAGAGGAAGCTGCTAGACAAGAGGTTACTCGTAAACTCTGTTGATAAGTCTCATCTTACGTTTATTACAGGCCGAGGAAGCTCTGAAAGACCAGGATTTAGCGAATGCCCTCGCGGACACGGATTATGACAAAGCGGTTCAACTGGCATTCGAACTAAGACGACCTTTTAAACTCCTTGGAGTTTTTACAGAGTTGTTCAGGTGCAGTCTCTTGACTCTTGAGAGCTGAGCTTTTAACAATTCAGTCTCGGTGCTTTTGGCAGATCTGGCACAGACGCAACACTGGCCTCGCTTTTGAAGAAACTCGACAGCGCATACCTGCGTCTACTCTTGGAATATATCCGCGAATGGAATTCGAAGCCAAAGTTTTGTTATGTTGCGCAGCATGTGTTGCACTGCGTATTCAACGTTTTTCCAGCGTCCGAAATAGTAGAGGTGAGAAGAGCAGCGTGCTAAATATCTTGGAGCATGGTCACACGCTTTGGTTGCAGGTTCCAGGGATATCGGAGCTTTTGGAAGGCATTTTACCTTATACACAACGGCATTTTAATAGGATAGGCAGGCTGGAACAAAGCTGTTACCTTGCGGACTATACGTTGGCATGCATGTCAGTGTTGGATCCCAGTGACCAATTGCCAGGACTTGGCGGAGAGATACATGCTAAGAAGAAGCAAAAGTTGTAATCCGTTAGAATTTGAAGGAAAATTTTGTTTTGTTAAATTAAAATAATTTTTACTTAATCTAGTTAAATTATTTACTATTGATAATAAAATAGTAAAGTTTTGCCAAAGAAACACGAAATCTAGACAAAAGTAGTTGTTCCTAGCCAATTCAATAAGAGAAAATGTACTACAATTATTTCTATATCAATTTTTGTTTCCTACAAACGTTTGCCCAAACTTCCAATCTTGAGGCGCAACATCATAATCGGTAACAGTGTCACCGTTGCTCGTGGTTACCATGAAAGAGAGGGACTGGCCAAGAAGAACATCTGGCGATTGCCAATTCTGCCCCCAGTTTCTCACCAAAGGCTGCCACCTCCTGGTTCTCGATCCCATGACAGCCACAGCGTGGACATCCCCGGCTCCACCCACATTCCACACCAGCACCAGCATGAAATAGGCATGGCCATTGATAGAGAAATGAATGCCTCCTTCCCTTTCACAAGGTACCCTGTAGCACAACAAATGCAAACACGAAGTGAATGAATTTGTAGAAAACTATAGAAAACATTCTCTAGAGAAGGAGAGCTCACCTTCTGTACTGAACAGGAACAATGCCACCTCTGTACTTGGCAATCAGCTCAAATGCAGGCTGTGAGAGATCAAAGTGCTCGCGCGGGGGATTACACCAGCCTCCGTTGTCGCTTGGGAGAGCAAAGTTTGGAGGGCAAAAGTTTGTGGCCGTGACCACGATGGATGGGTTGCCGGGCAAGCACCATTCCGGGTCGGCCTCGGCATTGCATTTCAATTCGAAGCAAGAGCCGCACGACCAGCCTTCATTGAACAGGGCAGTGCTCAGTGCTGCTGTGCTTACTCCATAGCCTTGGAGGTAGAGGTTCCCATATCCACAAGCTCCTCCTGAATTTACAAGATCATTGCATTGAAGCAAACATGCCAGTTAGAATGGGTTGTTTTTCTTTTTTTCTTGCTAAATGATTGTACCCATGGTTCCAGAGGCATCACTTCCTCCATAAAACGTTGCGTGAGCATCTTGCCATGATCCATAATCTTGAGCTCCAACTTCAGGGCTCAAAAACAGCACCACAACGGTTGCTGCAAAAAGAAGTGGGAGATCCATTTTTTTGTGAGTAGAAATCTTGTGACAAAGAAAAGAGAAAAGAAGAAAATCTAATATGGCGATCAAGTCTAGCCCTGAGCTCTCTTTAAATACAGAACCTCGGAGTAACTCTTTCCTTAACAGTAAGACAGTTATTTGTCATTGGAGATCAGGTCCCATGGTGCGACGCTCTCGATGTCATGCACACTTTGGAATCAACAGAGATTCACACTAACCTCGAAAGAGTGGAGGAAACTTTAGAAAACTTTTCGCCACCTTTGACTTCGACGCACGCTAGGCTTTGGTTCGAAGGGTTCAACTATTTCGCTTTGATCACCAAGTGCGGGCAGGATATGCTCCACAGGTTCATACATTATCAGCTTCTCCTTACATGTACAATCGTTGATTCTCATTGTCAACTTGAGCTCTTTGTCAGAACTCTGATTTTCATGTCAACTCAAGAAACCTCTCTTATTGAAAGGAACTTCTCTTTCCGAAAAGATTATTCCCTATGCTTACCATAATCGAAACAAAAGCCGTATAGCTCGTATCACAGGCACACACACAAAACTCATGAATCGACAAAAGGTACTATTACAATATCTCCAAAAGAACAAATAAGTTACTCGCAAACTCTGGGGCTAACGGAACAGCAAATCTGTCAATCCTCGATCTCCCATAAACCGACGCGATTTCATCCAGTCCTGTGGAGAAAAGTATGGGGAATCTCTCCAATCCAGAAAGCTGGGGATGCATTTTGTAGTAGAGAGCAAGCAAATCAAACAAATTCGCTCCCCAGTTGCAATCCAAACGAAGGCTGTAGCGCGGAGGTGCAGCCGAATTTTCGTCCACAAGTCTAGGCAGGCTGAAATTAAACGCTTGGGCTCGCCATAGCCACAAGTACACGCCACCTTTCTCTCCCTTCTTCCAAAGTAGGTGGTCCCCGTCTCGATTCCAGCTGATACCGTATCAAAAAGAAGCGCAACACGGCACTCATTGTCATTGTCCGTCAAGTTCTGGATGTTTTCAATGCGATTTGGATGCCTGCTTCTCTCTCTTCAAAAACCCGTTTCTTTCTTGGTTTCTTACAATCGATCTCCCGATCGCGATTAGATCAGTCCTGTTCCTTACCAATTTTCTGTTCAGCAAAGGGGATCCGATGCATCACTTTGTTTTC